CTACAATTACTCTCTTACTTGGTTCAGAACTCCCTAAATACTCGCTTAACATCTCCCAAAATATATATATCTCCTCTACACTACTTTGTTCTCCAGGTGCATAAACACTTAGTATGACCCTCTTTTACATTCGACCCTTATTTTAATCCACATAATTCTTGAATTTTTTACATTTATTTTCCTTTGCCATTACTGATCTTTCAACATTATTACTACTCCTTCCTTAGCTGAAACTCTCAGGTTTTCATGAACTAATTTCATTCATTTCTCCCCACAATCTCTTTAACTCCCTTCAGCTTTGTTTCAATTAAAGTCAGAACGTGCAGCTTCTTTTTGTTTATAGCACTGAAAATAAAAACGTTGATTTCCTTGCAAAGTTTACAATATGCGGTTTACATATTATAAAATATTAATTACAAAGAAGGCCTCTAGCATGCCTAGGCATTTCAGGCAGACTAATACTAATTCTTACTCTATATTGACACAGGTTATAGAGCAGTACATTTTAATATACCTTATTGCATACTAGGTAACTGAAGTGATTGATTAGATTTATAATAATGAGGTAGTACAAAACATATAACAGTATTACAGTTAGTAAATTAAGTAATGGGAATGGTTAAGTCTTGGCATGATACACTGTTTCTATTAAAGCTCTTAAATTGGGAGACTTCGGTAAACTTACGACTAAATTAAGATTTATTAGGCAGTAGCTGCATTAGGAATTTTATGTTTACAGTCATTTGGGTGAGTGTTAGTGTAAATTAGGGGGAATCACAGATATCGAGAGTAAATCTATTTTGTTTTGGATGTGTTCATGATAAAAAAAAAAAAACAGAGAATAGGTGGTTTTCATATAGTTAGCCAGTGATGGGCTGTGTTAGGTAGATAAGATATTTTTTAACAGTAGTTTTGAAAATGGTGGTTGAGTCTGCAGTTCTAGAGTTTTCAGACAGGGAGTTCCAGATTTTAGGCTCTCTTATGTACGTTGACTTTTTTGTAGAGATTTAGCTGGACACGGGGACTGTCATAGAGATTATTGTGTCTGGTATTGTGTCTATGGATCCTGTCACAACTATCAAGAAAGTGTTTTAGTTCAGGGTTAATATTAGAACTTATGGTTCTGTAAATATTGGTTGCACAGTAGTAAGTGTGAATGTTCTGTATATTGAGTAAGTTTAAGTCTATGAAGAGTGGGGGGTGTGTTGCTTAGCATTGGATTGTGTGATAATTCTTACTATGGCTTTTTGTTGGGTTATTATTGGCTTTAGGTGGGTTACTGCTGTTGATCCTCAAGCACAAATAGCATAAGTGAGGTAGGGATAGATGAGTGATTAGTAGAGTGTGTGTATGGCTGATTGTGGTACGTAGTAACATATTTGGAGAGGATCCCAACCATTTTGGATACTTTTTTTTTTGTTGTGTTGTATATGTGTGTTGAATTTCAGGTTGCTGTCAAGGTGCAGACCCAGGAATTTGTCCTCATTATGTTTAGCACTAAGAGTGTTGTCAGTCATAATGTTCAGCTGGGTAGCACCTGCTCTGTTACCAAACATAATATAGAAAGAAGGTTTTGTCAGTATTAAGTGTAAGTGTATTAGCAGTCATCCAGGTAGATATTTTTACTATCTCTTTGTTAACAATGGCGTTGAGTGAGGCAAGATTAGGGTGGGAGATGACGTAAGTCATGTTGTCAGCTTTCAGATGTTGTATTACATTAGGAAGATCACTGATGTATAAGAGCAAGAGCAGGGGACCAAAGACATTTCCCTGTGGCACTCCAGTATACAGTGGTCTTGTTGATTGACAATCATTGTTTTCTTACCTGCACAACATTCATGCACATTCAGACATCCCAGATTTATAGTTTTTTGTCTTATTATAAATACAGCAAATCTGTAAAAATACAGTACTGTATATATATATAGAAACCATACCACGGGCAGGGATCGAATTCATAGCGAGTGAGTGGTAAAACTCCAAGCCAGAACATAAGCCACTGGGCCAGCTGGCTACAATAAGTGTCATCCAACTAGGTATATTTATACACCATAGAGAGGTTAGCACAGGCCTCACTGTGACCACAAATGCAAGTTTTTACAGATGAATCTCCCACTAGTGTGGCCATGACAAACTCTAGCTCTAGTCCCCTCAAAGCTGTCATCATGACTAACGAAACCGTAATGACACAACTGCAAACAAATCATGCCACAGGAGGGGATTAAACTCGTGGCGAATGGTTCGTAAAACTCCAGGCCAGCGCGTAAGCCATTGGGTCAGCTGGCTACAATAAGATTCATCCAACTAGGTATATTTATACACCATCAAGAGGTTAGCACAAGCTAGAGTTCGTTACGGCCACGTTGGCAGGAGATTCATTTGTAAAAACTTGCATTCACGGTCACAGTGGCGCCTGTGCTAACCTCTCTGTGGTGTATAAATATACCTAGTTGGATGAATCTTATTGTAGCCAGCTGGCCCAGTGGCTTACATGCTGGCCTGGAGTTTTATGATTCACTTGCCACGAGCTCAATCCCCCGAACATGATATGGTTTGTTTGCAATTGTGTCATTACAATTTCATGAGTCCTGTAAATACAGTGGACCCCCGCATAGCGAACGCCTTGCATAGCGAACAATCCGCATAGCGAACGCTTTGTTCGCTAAAATTTTGCCCCGCATAGTGGACAAAAACCCGCTCAGCGACCTTCGTCCGAGACGCGTCCAATGTGCGGCCTGAGCCAGCCTCACATGTGCCGCCCGTCCCATTGTTTACCAGCCAGCCTCCGCGGTAACATTCAAGCATACACTCGGAATATTTCGTATTATTACAGTGTTTTCGGTGCTGTTTGTGGAAAATAAGTGACCATGGGCCCCAAGAAAGCTTCTAGTGCCAACCCTACACCTCAAAGGGTAAGAATACCCATTGAAATGAAGAAAGAAATCATTGATAAGTATGAAAGTGGAGTACGTATCACCGACCTGGTCAGGTTGTACAAGAAACCAAAATCAACCATCGCTTCTATTGTGGGCAAGAAAACGGCAATCAAGGAAGCTGTTGTTGCCAAAGGTTTAACTGTGTTTTCGAAACAAAGATCGCAAGTGATGGAAGATGTTGAGAGACTCTTATTGGTGTGGATAAATGAAAAACAGCTAGCAGGAGATAGCGTCTCTCAAGCGATCATATGTGAAAAGGCTAGGAAGTTGCATGACGATTTAATTAAAAAAATGCCTGCAACTAGTGATGATGTGAGTCAATTTAAGGCCAGCAAAGGTTGGTTTGAGAGATTTAAGAAGCGTAGTGGCATCCATAGTGTGATACGGCATGGTGAGGCTGCCAGTTCGGACCACAAAGCGGCTGAAAAATATGTGCATGAATTCAAGGAGTACATAGAAACTGAAGGACTGGAACCTGAACAAGTGTTTAATTGTGATGAAACAGGCCTGTTCTGGAAGAAAATGCCAAGCAGGACCTACATTACTCAGGAGGAAAAGGCACTCCCAGGACATAAGCCTATGAAAGACAGGCTTACTTTGTTGATGTGTGCCAATGCTAGTGGTGATTGCAAAGTTAAGCCTTTATTAGTGTATCACTCTGAAACTCCCAGAGCGTTCAGGCAAAAGAATGTCCTCAAGGATAATTTGTGTGTGCTGTGGAGGGCAAACAGTAAGGCATGGGTCACTAGGGAATTTTTCTATAACTGGTTACACCATGCATTTGCCCCCAATGTGAAAGATTACCTAACTGAAAAGAAATTAGACCTTAAGTGCCTCCTGGTGTTAGACAATGCCCCTGGTCATCCTACAGACGTGGCAGAGCGACTTTATGGGGACATGAGCTTCATTAAGGTGAAGTTTTTGCCTCCTAATACCACTCCTCTCCTGCAGCCCATGGACCAGCAGGTCATTTCCAACTTCAAGAAACTGTACACAAAAGCTGTTTCAAAAGTGCTTTGAAGTGACCACAGACACTGGATTGACTCTAAAAGAGTTTTGGAAGGATCACTTTAATATCCTCAGTTGTGTAAACCTTATAGGTAAGGCTTGGGAGGGAGTGACTAAGAGAACCTTGAACTCTGCTTGGAAGAAACTGTGGCCAGAATGTGTAGACAAAAGGGATTTTGAAGGGTTTGAGGCTAACCCTGAGAGGAGTAGTATACCAGTTGAGGAATCTATTGTTGAATTGGGGAAGTCCTTGGGGTTGGAGGTTAGTGGGGAGGATGTGGAAGAGTTGGTGGAGGAGGACAATGAAGAACTAACCACTGATGAGCTGATAGATCAACTTCAAGAGCAAGAGGCCAGACCTGGGGAAACTGGTTCAAAGGAGGGGAGAGAGAAATTGAAGGAATTGCCTACTTCAAAGATTAAGGAAATGTGTGCAAAATGGCTTGAAGTGCAAACCTTTTTTGATGAAAATCACCCTCACACAGCTATTGCAAGCCGTGCTGGTGACTGTTACAATGACACTGTTGTGAACCACTTTAGACAAATCATAAAGGAACGAGAGGTACAGGCCACTATGGACAGATATGTTGTGCGAAAGAAGTCCAGTGACTCTGAAGCTGGTCCTAGTGGCATTAAAAGAAGAAGGGAAGTAACCCCAGAAAAGGACTTGCTACCTCAAGTTCTAATGGAAGGGGATTCCCCTTCTAAACACTAACACTCTCTCTCCCCTCCTCCCATCCCATCAATCATCACCAGATCTTCAATAAAAGTAAGTGTCATGTAATTGTGCATGCCTTTTTCAGTTTGTGTGTACTAAAATTAACATTTTTTTGTGGTAAAAAAATTTTTTTTTCATACTTTTGGGTGTCTTGCACGGATTAATTTTATTTCCATTATTTCTTATGGGGAAAATTAATTCGCATAGCGAACATTTCGCATAACGACCAGCCCTCTTGCACGGATTAAGTTCGCTATGCGGGGGTCCACTGTATAGGTTTTCTTAGTCAAATATTGTAGAACTTTTAACATTTTGTTTTTTTTTCAGCTCTGGAAAAGAATGTGGAAGGAAGGTCATCGATGTAAAAGTGTGTGCTTGTCCTACTCAAGATTTGAAAACTGACGAGCAAGCTATATTGTACAAAGGTGGTAAACGGAAAGCCTCAGTCTTGCAAGTAAGTTGTAGTCTTTCTTCTGCGTATGACAAGCATTGCTGATATATTCATGTTTATTATTATCATTATTATTATTATTATTATTGTTATTGTATTCATGAGGAAGCCCTAAACACACAAGGGCCATATAGTGATAAGTAATAGAGGGTAATTAGGTTTGATTCATTAGAGAGGAGAGTAGTTCTGTTTTCTAAGATAAACTTTCACCAGCATCACGGTACCTATGATATTTCTTTTAACAGTTTAGGAGGCCTGGTCTGAGACCAGGTCACTGGGAGTTGTCATCCCAGAATCATTAACCCTTTGACTGTTTTGGTCGTATATATACGTCTTACGAGCCAGTGTTTTGGACGTATTAATATGCATAAATTCTTGCGGCTTCAAATCAAGCAGGAGAAAGCTGGTAGGCCCACTTGTGAGAGAATGGGTCTGTGTGGTCAGTGTGCACCACATAAAAAAAATCCTGCAGCACACAGTGCATAATGAGAAAAAGAAAACTGACCGTTTTTTTTGGATTAAAACACCGACATTGAGGTGTATTTTCATATAGTATTTATCATTGTATTCTCGTTTTCATGGTCTCGCGTGATAAAATGGAAAACATATTACAGAAATAGAGATGATTTTGATTAGTCTCACAATGAAAACGACCTTGAAATTGAGCTCAAAATAGCGGAAATGTTCGATTTTTACCAATGTTCAGGAGTAAGTAAATCACACCACACGTCCGATACACATCAACTGGGGAGTCTAATATTCTTTCACTAGTGCACTGATATTATTTATACCATTTTTACAATAATGCAGTAGTCTGCATAACAGTAAATTTTGTATTTTTTGTATGAATAAAAAATCAAAATAAAAAGCAATAGTAACATAAGAGGGGCCTAGAGACATGACTTATGAACAGAGGATATGTTATTTTAGTGCCAAGTATGTCTACATTGTTTATTCTCGACCCTATTTTGAAATTGGCATCTTTTTTAATTTGTGTGAAATTGGCCAGATTGCCAATTTCTGACCACTTTATTGGGTAGTTCAAATTGGTAAATGGGTGGTTTCCTGTACACAACTGATAGAAAACATGGAGTTCTAAAGAAATAGCTATGAGTTTGGTCAACTGGAACAACAGAATTGGTCAAAAACGGCTCAGTCAGCGAAATCGCCGATGCGTATATGTCGCCAAAACTGCTAACTTTGCAGGAGCGTAACTCCGTGAGTTTTCAACCAAATTTCGTACTTTTGGTGTCATTACCATTGGGAAAAGATTCTCTATCATTTCATAAGAAAAAACAATTTTTTTTTTTCCAAAAATTTTGCAACATAGAATGACAGTTTCAGAAAGGGGCTTGCGACAGTCAAAGGGTTAATAGATAGATAATAGATAAGGTATTTTGCTAGTTTCAGTAAATCTGGATTTTTTCTCCCAGCAGGAAAAAGTACCACTTGTGACCATGAAGAAACCTAGGGCAGTCGACCCCAAAACTGAGCCACAAGAAGAAGATAAGATGTTTTCAATTCCTGTGAGTGTTGGTTTCTTTTCTTGAACTGTGTTTTACACTCCACATATTACATTAGTTTGCCTGGAGTTTACCTGGAGAGAGTTCCGGGGGTCAACGCCCCCGCGGCCCGGTCTGTGACCAGGCCTCATGGTGGATCAGCCTGATCAACCAGGCTGTTACTGCTGGCTGCACGCAATCCAGTGTACAAGCCACAGCCCGGCTGGTCAGGTACCGACTTTTGGTTCTTGTCCAGTGCGTGCTTGAAGACAGCCAGGGGTCTATTAGTAATCTCCCTTATGTATGCTGGGAGGCAGTTGAACAGTCTTGGGCCCCCTGACACTTATTGTGTTGTCTCTTAACGTGCTAGTGACACAGTTATTATAAGAATGGTGAGATTGTCTCAACACTGGATTTTTATGTTTCTGTGTACTGTGCCAGTTCTGATGAGCCACAGAAAACACACCACCTAGGAGGTACAAACACCAGTTTGTACCTCCTAGCTCTCAGCTCGGCTTCCTACTGTTCCTCATTCTCTCCTGCACATTGTTTTCTTTACAGGAAGGCCCTTCTTATACAGCAGGTTAGGTTCCATGCTGCTGCTATAAAGCAAAAATTGCTGTAAAGTGAAACAGACTTTGTTCCCTTTCAGATGCATATAAAAGCCTGATAACATGTTTACACTCATATATTACCCCTTTAACCCGTTAACTGTCCAAATGTAGATCTGCATTCTTACCGCTAGCGCTCCAAACTTAGTTTCTATGTTTTGTTTTTCCTGCCTCCAAATTTGCACTTTTGCCTAAGATGCCTGGTCAGCATAGAATGGTCTTAACCGGGGTGTGCACACTTTTAAAAAAAATCGGGGACCACTTAGTACCTTGTGGTAGCACCAGTTTCAATGGCGCCAGCTAGAGCAAACAGCATGGCAAACACCAGGGATTCTCTAATATCATGCCTCGGCATGATAGTGGCTATCTTTGTACCTAGCAAATCAAAATTGTAATTACACATTGTAACCTTTACAAAGAAATAAACTTTATTAATATGATTTTCAAGAGGAAAGTGTCATCCTGCCAGAATGTCCTATAACCTTTGCCCTGAGTAAAAAAAAACAATTCTGGAATTGTAATTTCGGCAGGCTGGCTGGCCGTTGGCTGGCTGGTGGCTGGCTGGCCTCCAATGGAACTTCGTCTTCAAGTGAACAGAGGCTGTAATGCAGTAGTCTGCATAACAGTAAATCTTCTATTTTTTTGTGCGAATAAAAATTCAAAATGGAAAGCAAGCAGAATATTAGACGGGCGTGGAGATGTAACTAATAAACAGAGAAAATGTTATTTTAGAGCCAGGAATGTCTGCATTATTTATTCTGGACCCTATTTTGAAATTGGCATTTCTTGAAATTTGCATGAATTTGGACAAATTACCAATCTCTGACCATCTTATTTGGTAGTTGAAATAAATAAATGGGTGGTTTCTTGTACTCAATCAACAGAATAGAAGAAAAATAGCAAAATACATAGCTATGAGTTTGGTAGACTGGAACAGTGGAATGGGCTAAAAATAGGGCGTAAATTGGGTGAAATAGCCAATGCGTAAATATCGGTGTTGGCTTAAGTGTATTCTAACCTAACCTAACCACTCTGTAATCCAGCAAAATCACTAATCCGGCATGCTACAGGTCCCAGTGATGCTGGATTAGTGATGCTCAGCCTGTATTAGTCTGTCTGAAATACTCATGCATGCTGGTGGCTTTCTTTGTGCTTAACACTAACTTATTACATGTAAACTACAGTTTGAATTTTGAATTTGAATTTTTGAAAATAATGTGTCAGATATGACTATGATATGGTAAATAAATAAGTAAATAAATAACTACTTTCGCTGATTAAGTAAATAAACAAATAATTACTATAACTAACTACATACCAGTATTGAAAAGTAAATACAGTGGACCCCCTTGAATTCACAGTTCCTAATTCGCGGTTTCAGTAATTCGTGTATTTTTCTCTAGAACGTAACTAATAATTGTTCATGGAAATCCCCGCAAGTTTGCTGAATTTTTTTTTTTTGTTTTTTTTCATGGCAGTACAGTGGACCCCCGGTTAACGATATTTTTTCACTCCAGAAGCATGTTCAGGTGCCAGTACCGACCGAATTTGTTCCCATAAGAAATATTGTGAGGTAGATTAGTCCATTTCAGACCCCCAAACATACACGTACTAACACACTTACATAAATACACTTACATAATTGGTCACATTCGGAGGTAATCGTTATGCGGGGGTCCACTGTATATAATTTTCTATGCGCTTTAATGCTAAATATTAAGAAAAATATAATTTAATAATTTTGTAATGTAAATATTAACATAAATTCAGCAAAATTTCCATATAAAATATAATACTGTATTACAGTAAACCAAAGAAAACGGACTTGCATGAATTACAGTACATATAGGGGTAACATCACGCAATCCCATCCCAGGCAAATCCCCCCTTCCCTCTTGATAGCTCTAAACTCACTGTTCAGTACATCCACACTTACTACTGTGCAATCTACATCTACAGGACCTTAAATTCCAATATTAACCCTGTCCTAAAATGCTCTCTTGATAGTTGTGACAGGACCCACAGGCATAACACCAGACACAAACATATCTATGACATTCCCCGTGTCCGACTTAACCTTTACAAAAATTCAATGTACGTCAAAGGGTCTAAAATCTGGAACACCCTAACTGAAAACTCTAGAACTGCAGACACTTTCAAAACTACCGTTAGAAAACATCTTATCTCCCTGATACACCCGTGTGTGTGTGTGTGTGTGTGTGTGTGTGTGTGTGTGTGTGTGTGTGTGTGTGTGTGTGTGAGTGTAAGTGTGAACCACCACCTGGTGGTTCACACGTACACACTCACCCAATTGACTATAAACACAGAAATACAAATGATAAAATAATGAATCCCAACTAGTCATAAGTTTGCCTGTGATACACCAGTATAGAAACTATGTATTGTACCAAAACAAAAGCATTCACATTGCTAAATTTACGAACTGTAATGTAGTTACTTAGCCTTAATACCAACTTGTTCCATAATCTGTAATAATTTAGATTTATGAATTAATCTTAGTCTGCCCGAAATGCCTAGCCATGCTGAGTGTGATAGTGGCCCCTCTGTAATTAGTATTTTATAACATGTAAACCACAAAATATCCTAAAATATGTAAACCCCGCATTGTAATTTTTATAGAAAATAAACTTGAACATTGGTATTTTACATTCTAGCACTGTGGGAGACATAGTAATACTGTACTGTATTTTTTTTTTCAACAAGTCGGCCGTCTCCCACCGAGGCAGGGTGACCCAAAAAAGAAAGAAAATCCCCAAAAAGAAAATACTTTCATCATCATTCAACACTTTCACCACACTCACACATTATCACTGCTTTTGCAGAGGTGCTCAGAATACAACAGCTTTAAAGCATGTACGTATAAAGATACACAACATATCCCTCCAAACTGCCAATATCCCAAACCCCTCCTTTAAAGTGCAGGCATTGTACTTCCCATTTCCAGGACTCAAGTCCGACTATATGAACATAACCGGTTTCCCTGAATCCCTTCACTAAATATTACCCTGCTCACACTCCAACAGATCGTCAGGTACCAAGTATCATTCGCCTCCATTCACTCCTATCTAACATGCTCATGCACGCTTGCTGGAAGTCCAAGCCCCTAGCTCACAAAACCTTCTTACCCCCTCTTCCAACCCTTTCGAGGACGCCCCCTAACCCTCCTTCCTTCCCCTATAGATTTACATGCTTTCCATGTCATTCTACTTTGATCCATTCTCTCTAAATGACCAAACCACCTCAACAACCCCCTCTTCTGCCCTCTGACTAATGTTTTTATTAACTCCACACCTTCTCCAAATTTTCCCCACACTCCAAAATTTCTGTATAATATTTACACCACACATTGCCCTTAGACAGAAAATCTCCACTGCCTCCAACCGTCTCCTCGCTGGCTGCTTTTACCACCCAAGCTTCACATCCATATAAGAGTGTTGGTACTACTATACTTTCATACATTCCCTTCTTTGCCTCCTTAGATAACGTTTTTTGACTCCACATAACCTCAACACACCACTACCCTTTTTTCCCTCATCAATTTTATGATTAACCTCATCCTTCATAAATCCATCCACCGACACGTCAACTCCCCAAATATCTGAAAACATTCACCCTTACTTCCATACCCTCCCCCCCCAAATTTGATATCCAATTTTTCTTTATCTAAATCATTTGATAAACCCCCATCACCTTACTCTTTTCTATGTTTACTTTCAACTTTCTACCTTTACACACATTCTCAAACTCATCCACTAACCTTTGCAATTTTCTTTAGAATCTCCCATAAGCACAGTATCATCAGCAAAAAGTAACTGTGTCAATTCCCATTTTGAATTTGATTCCCCATAATTTAATCCCACCCCTCTCCCGAACACCCTAGCATTTACTTCTTTACAACCCCATCTATAAATATATTAAACAACCATGGGGACATTACACATCCCTGTCTAAGACCTACTTTTTCCCGGGGAAATATTTTCCCTCTCTTCCCCAAAACACCCTAACCTGAGCCTCACTATCCTCATAAAAGCTCTTTTCAGTATTTAGTAACTTACCACCTATTCCATATACTTGCAAATCTGCCACATTGCTCCCTATCCACTCTATCATATGCCTTTTCTAAATCCATAAATGCAAAAAAAACTTTCCCCACCATTATCTAAATACTGTTCACATATATACTTCAATGTAAACACTTGATCTACACATCCCCTACCCACTCTGAAGCCTCCCTGCTCAACCGCAATCCACTTTTTGTCTTACCTCTAATTCTTTCAATTATAACCCTACCGTATACTTTTCCTGGTATACTCAGTAAAACTTATTCCTCTATAATTTTTACAATCTCTTTTGTCCCCTTTCCTTTATATAAAGGGACTATACATGCCCCTC